TTGACATTTCAGTTGTTAAGGGTGGTGGAGTATTCCAACTTTCAAATCGAAATTTTGCCAAAATAAATTATACATTTCGACAACCACCCTCGTAAGATGTTAATATTCATAATTCACTCTCTAAAAATTTTCAGTGTCCGAAAATGAAATAAAATGTAAAGAAAATTTACAAATATCGTTTATACCAACGTTGGGGGCTGTTTATGACAAACATTGACGTCTCAGTTGTTATGGGGGTGGTCGAGTATTCCAACTTCCGAATCGAAATTTCATCAAAACTAATTCTACATTCGGTAAACCGCCCTCGTAAGACGTTAACGTCCGTGGGGCTCTAAAAATTCTGATGGTCCGGGAACGATGGCGACAACATCCAGTATCAACCGATACACCGGAATAAAGGAAAGACTAACGTAGGAAACCTCGGTACGCGAGACAGAAGGGCAGGGGAGAAAGAAACGAAAGACCGGAAGGGAATCCACGTCCGCCGACACAGTCTCTCGTCGGACGAGCGTCGGTTCGAAGAACAGAACAGGGTGGCTGCGCGGGGTGGCTGCCGAGGGGTGGCTGCCGCGGGATGGTTGACGAGGGTGGTACCTGCCTTCTCCTCGCGCCCTCACCGGGCGCTATAGTAACAATACGGGGAAACATAGGGAAATCAATATGGCTTCCGTTGCCCTCTTCCCTCTCGTCTCTCCCTGTCTTTCATCGTCTCGCTCTTCCCTGGTTCGCTCAGTCTTTTACTCGCTCTGTCCCTCCTCTGGCACTCCGGCTCTCGCTTCCGCCGTCTGTTCCTCCTCGTCTCTCACCCTCACAACGTCGTTCCGTCTCTTTCTCGGTCGCTCTCCCGCGCTCAGCGCGGACGGGTGAACCCATTATGAGGGGGTGTTACTCCGGGCCAATCCCCAACCATCCGGAGAGAGAAACTGGAGAAACGAGAGTCCAAGAAGGGCGCATGTGCGTTGCTAGGGCCACCGGATGGGTCGTGTAGTTCCGCCAACGCGAATCGGACACCCGTTATACGTGGTCAAGCCGGTCGCGCGACAGAGTACGCCATAATCTGCGAAACACCGGTCCAGCGTTACGCTTTGTCTTTCCCGGACTCGAAACTGGAACTTACGCAGCCTGTACGATCCTTGCGTTATTTTCCGTGCCATGGAAATCATTGGCAGAGTCTCATTTTTACGAGGTATCTCGTAATTCGCGGTGTTAGATCGATTGCAATTGGTCACGGAATGAGTCTGTGGCCGCTTCAGTTGGGAATTATTGGAAAGGATGAACGAAAATCTTGTATAATACTCTTTTTCGAGCATAAGTATTATTAGACCTAGCAAGATTCTATGTTTTCTTTGAAATAAAATCGCTCTAAATTTTCCTGGCTGTGAATGGATTAAATATAAATGGAATATTTGGAAACTTCTGTAATTAACCTTTACGTATTGCAAGCAGCTATGATCCTCAGCGATGTTAGCTCTTGATCTTAGCTCTTAAAATGCGTATTCGTGATAGTAATGTTGATCGTTAATTTACGTAATATGAAGTTTTAACCGAAAGTGAAATTATCTTTTTTTTTTTAACTATTGGTCGTTAAATTTTAGTCCCATCATTCTGTTTAACTCTTCGATATTGGAACGCTTCTACCTATAGAACAATTTCAATTATCACGTTGCAACTGGTCACATTTTTGTTGAGACGAAAATAATTATTCATAACCATTCACAACTCTTGCCTAACAGACTCCGGGTCCATTGGGGCTCATGCAAATCATTTCCTTCAGAGTGATGAAATTTCGGTTTTAGATCAATAATTTTACAGTAATCTTATAGAATTAACGACAATTAAAAAAATAGAGAATTTACAATTACGTTAACGAACAAATTCAATCAAAAACCTTGTACTGGAATGCGAAATAATGGAATTCAAATTCGAGTCAAAATGGACCCAAAGTTAGTCCGTTCCGAGGAATTATCATATTGGGCCCTATTTCAAACCGTCTTTCATTCATCTGTTTTATTTTTTATTTTTATTGCTTCAAGAAAAAAATCACAATTCTTTCTCTTCAAAGCAAATGTTGAATAAACATTATTTGGTATAAATATATAATATACTATATCCACTATGTATACGTATATTTGTAAATAATAGTCACCATATTTCGATAAAATTTTGTACGTATACGATTATCTTTTATTTAATTAATAAACAAAAAACTGAAAAGATAGAAAATATTTTTAATATTCACTGCCTTCAGTTATTATTACTATTATTAATATATGACTCAATTTGTCTTTTCTTTCAATTATGAATAAATATTATATTTTTTTTTATGTTTCTCGTGTGAATGGTGAACTTCATTCCTTTTTATTTTAATTAGACTATAACCAATATATATATTAGAATAAAAAGAAATAATTTTTCTGGCCTTGTTAACAAATTATTATTTGAAAGAACAAAAAGATCCAAGTGTACGAAGTGACTTTTTAATGGAAATATCAGTAATTGTAAATTGCTAAAAAGATTAGAAATTTGCGAACTTAAAGATTACTAAAATTATTTACACGTGGGTGTTACCTCATTTTATAAATTGCTTATATTAATGAGACAGACACAACCCTTAGAAACAGTATACCATCCAATGAGAGGCTTATATTTAAAGGTAAATACTCGTAATCAACTTAACCTTTTATTTGTATATAATTATTTATAATAAGTATCTACAAAATGAAGCTAAATTAAATTTAAATAATAATGAAACAAAAATATACACGATTATTATACCTATGAAATGTCCCCTCTAATTTAACGTACTTTCCGTGTGGAATCAATTTTTTCTGACGGAAAGAACGTCACTGTATAGGTACCTAATGTAAAACCATTAAACGAAACATGTGACATAGTTCACACGGAGTATCGAACTAACTAAATGGTAGCTGCGAATCGCTATGCTCTGGCGGTGTACCAGAGAAACGCCTAGAGGTTAGAAGTCGGTGCAGCAGGTAATTGCAATGTGCAGTGCACTGATTCTGTACAAACGTTTGCGAAAAGAAATTTTTGAAAGAAAATTTGGCAAAAGAGTGGTCACACTTGAACTACTACAGTAGAGTTGTGCATTTTTGGTTCTTGAATCCGTTTTGGTGTTGGTACCATATTACATTTTAGAAAGATGAAAGTGAAACATGGAACACGAAGGAGAAGTTCTGAGGGGGGGAAGGAAATTAATTAATTGCTGCACCGCTCATTATTTTTTCCAATGGTTGTGTTTGCAATTTTCTATCCAATGGATGAGAAAGAGAAACTTTTTTTTTAAGTTTTTTTACTTTTTCCTCTCTCCTTCCTTTTTGGTGAGGACTCTGGTTGGTGTCTGTTTGGGAAAGAAGGAGAGAGAACCGCGCAAAACACACCAAAGATTATATGGTGCTGGAATAATGCCGCAAACAACCAATTTTCTCCGGAATCCACGATGACGCTTGAGAGGAAATTCTGAGAAACTCTCCTCATACTCCCATAACCTGAAGGAGGCGGGCGGAGCGATGAAGGAATTTTTTAGAACGTCATTTTGGCAGAAACCCCTACTAAACCAAGAAACGCAACTATGATGTTTAAAGGAGAGAAAGGATTCGAAATCCTTTTTCTCCTTGTTATTGTCTATATCCGACCCAAACTATTATCCTGTGGAAAGGAGACCTGAAGAGAAAGTCCTCCGTCGATATCCCTGAGTAGCGCCGGACCACGTAGACACTCTCTGCGAGCCGCCGTTATATACTAACTGCAAGATGTACGAGCACTTGCGAGAAAGTATCATTGCAATACGTTTTGACAAACTTTTCATTATAAGAACTTTAAAATTACATAAATTTTAATATATATAAGGTACATATTCGCAACATAAATTCGCAAAAGTGTCGTAACCCCCATTTATTAGAAGCAAACGAACGAAAAATAAAATATTGTCTAACAACAAGTAAAATTGATATCCCCCTAGCGTCCATGTTCGACAACACGAACGGGCGAATGGAGAGTTGGTACGAGAAGACCTGCATTACCAACATACGAAAACTACAGATATAACGGGTAACAAGTGCAATAAGTATCAGCATTAAAATTGCACAAATACTCAACAATAATAAATGTTTGAACAACAAAAATGATGCAACAGTATATTCATGTAAAATTAAGATGGTAAACGAGTCTGAGTACTCTAAAATCACCGTGTATCATACGGTCGGTATAGAAACAACCTGCTGTACCGTCGAAATAATTTCTTGATCAGCTGTAGGTAAGGTAACTGACGTTGGTAAAGACGGAATCTGCAAAATTTTATGGAAACAGGATCATGTGACCTCGTCGATAACATATTTTTCTATGGACACCATTTTGAAATATCAACCAACGTTTGCAAATTTCATTATGTTTATTTCAATCGTAATCGTTTATTTTATTAAAATAAACTATGATCATTGTTGCATATTGTCATTAAAACGAATATAACTTCAATTATGATACACAAGGTGGGACATTTCAGCTAAATCATCCGAATAACTCGCTTACTTTTCACAGTAGAAAAATAAATGTGAAACCAAAATCGTTCAGATGCAAGGAGACGTAATGGTGATATAAAGATCGAATCTACTTTCTCAAATGTGAAAAGTAAACGAGTTATCCAATTGACCTGTTTCAACAGTACGAAAATAAAATTCATATTGTTCTTTACGAATAGACCACGGTATAATTCGAAGGTAACTTATTGCCAATTTTTGGCGACGTTCCTTAAATCGAATTAACAACCAAGAAGTACACGATGCCGCATTATCACCGGGAATATATCAATATTCCTATAATTCAATCCCAAATTACAAAGGTCGTGTTTACCTTTAAATACAGCCACATATAAGCATAAGTGGGCACGATAGGAAGCGTAAACACAACGTCGAATGATGGTACCGGTACAGGAGGAAGGAGATAACCCAAACTTTCGATCAGTTGTCGGTTGACGTTGTAACGGTCTTCGATCGTCGAAAGAACGCGTAGTTTCGGGTGTCGGCGACAGAAAACGTGAACAATTCGCGAGATACAGCAACGTAGCAATAAAGCAAGTGACAAGGAAAACAGGGGAGCAGGAAAATGGCATTGACGATAGCGTTACCGCTCTCTGGTTTGGAGCCCGAACAATTTTCCGCGTTGTGGGCGAGACTTCTCTCCGAGCAAGGTTTGAGATCTTTGACGGGTTACGCGCCGATTTCGCCAAGTACGGGCAGTGAATCTAGCGGAATTAGCAGCCTTGTGCCTTCCATAGAATTCTTGACACCGGAAATAACGCCAGCATCTTCCAGACCGAGCACACCCACCGAGGATACGTCCAAGAAACAAGAGAAGGTACTCGACGATTGATCGAATTCGAATGAAAAACAGAAAGGAATACGTCACAACATTCTCTCTAACACGATTTTAATCGAAGCTATTAATTATTCAAATAGAATGGTACCTTTATAAATACGTTAATTACAACCGTGGTTCAAGCATGCAACGAATAAGATTTCATTTAATTTTTGCTCGTTAGACATATTCAAATATATAATATAAATAAACATTAATATATTCAAATAAAAAGTCAAATATTTTTTCCCCTCCCTTGTGACTCGGTTCTCGAAACTAGTTAACCCGTATCACGTTTACGACACTTTCTTTTTTTTTTGATAAATGAAAAAAGAAGAATCGTTGCTTACAGCTAAACCTACAGGTCCGTGTTTATCACAACGAACGCGACATATTGAACTTGGGAGCAAACATCAGAGAACCGTTGTGGCAAATGAGAGTACCGAGGATGCCGCGATACGATGTCAAGAACTTCATGGAGAATCAATCAGTCTACTATCGCCTGAGCGAGTTCGGATTAACCATGGAATACCCCACGGTAAACAAATTCTCTTTAAAGAAATCTAGTATTCACAACTTATTTCGAGGGATTAGTTTTATTTATACATTTCACACGGAAGACAATTTCGGGCATCTTGTTCGAAACGTACACAAATCGCGAAAATAATTACGGAATCGCTCGTTAATTATCTATTCGTTGACGCTCGCGATTATTCTAATAGATACATTTAATACTGTCGACGTTTCGAACTATTTCGAAGTGAGAAGCTGTTCCGTAAAATTTTGAATCGTCTTTCATGCTCTGGCTATAATTAAGCGTGAATTTCTCGCGCGTACTTTCGGCTCCTTCGACAAATTCGTCAAAGGAAGGCGCATCTCGAGTGTGTCTACGAAAATGCTTCTGCTCGAATCATTCGCTGCTTCGCCCGATGCTTCCCTGATTCCGAACTCGGTCGCTTTTCGCCGGTATTTCTCCGTTTCTACCCTCCGCGGTCTCCGTGCTCGATCTCGACGCGGCCATCGTTCGAATTTGATAGAATATCGGCAGAGAAACGATCAGACCGATGGTCCGGTACCTGAGGCCCAATGTTTTTCGCCAGTAATGCCCGTAACGATATTGCGCGATGTTGGAGAGTTTGTTCATCACGGACGGCAATGGTATTTGATCCAGAATGGATAGCACTTTGATGTCTCTGATACCCTGAAGATCGATAAAAGGTTTTACGACGAACACGGAACTATTTGTAAACGTAGTAAACTTACGCAATAAATTGAAACTTAAATAATTACTTCTAACGTTCTAATAAACAACAGGATTAAAAGAACGGCTCTCGCTAACTGACGATTATTTATTTAATATTACTAGAAAAAAAAATAATATTCAAGCGATCGATGCAATTTAAAAAAACGTTCAGAAATAAAAACAAATGCGATAAAACAGCTCTTTGGACGTCATGTTCAATGACATATAAATTGAAAAAAAAAATGGCTTTTACCAACTGATGATTACTTATGTATTTGGTCGCGGAAATTAATCTTTCTTGTACTAGAAAAAGAGTACTACTTTTTTATTTGCGAAACCTAAACAATTCATGATTGGTGCATACTTTTGGAAATTTATCTCTGAACTCCGACATCCGAATAATCTTGATCTTATCGTGGACTTGGCGGTATCGCGCCGTTAGGAAGTTCTGCATGGTAAATTTCTGTCTTCTGTTGCGAGGAGCTTAAAAAATTTGTCGAGTCCAGCGTAGATTCACGGGAAAAGGAACCAAGCGAACGACCACGGTATTGACAGATTCGGTCAGTTCTCCTCCACTGCGTTAAGACTGCGCCATTTTTAGCGACTCGGAAAAATTACGAACAAAACAAACTTGGGGCATGTTCACTCCGTACGAAGCAGGCGAAACGATATCGCGGGAAACAGAGTGGATCGGATTCTTTTGAAACTATTTGTGTGATTGATTACAGAAACTAATCACAATAATTTACTTTTGTAATCCACAACCATACATCGCTCGAATTCCATGGATTATTTGGATTACTTTAACTTTTAACTTTTCAAGTATTATTTCTAATAGCATGGTATTTTATTTTACGGTTATTATTATTCTTGAATTAAATAATAAATTAAAATAATTGTGAAAATGTGTAATAAATGTCTACTTGGAAAAAATGGAATGTTTTTAGAGATGACCCAGCTATTTTGAAAATGTAATTGTCGCGAAATTTTTGAAGGAAATAATAAATTATCTATAATAAACTTTATTGATTCGAATGTACGATATATTAATTATTAATCATTTATAGAAATTTCGAATGTAAGGTGTGTTCATCAGGTTTCCATATAAACACTATCTTGCAATCTTTAATTGCTTGTATTTCACATACATCTAGAGTTGATAATTAATGAAATCACACTCTGTTCGACACGTTATCCGACAGTAATCGAAAATCAGCGAAATTCCATATATTTTCTATTTTTTTTTACAGGCGCATTGCAAAGACTGTGGCTTCACTGAACCGTCGACGTACCAGTTTTAACGTCATCGACGAGAATACCAGACAAGCGGCAGCCGGCTCGAAACGAATCCGATGTGACGAAACGAAAAAGGCGATTTGCGACAAAGGCGTGCATCTCGGCCAGACGTAACGAGTTATCGCGCGTTTGGTCGGGGAGCGCGCGAAAATTTGAATTCGTACTAACAGAAAGTGGCCAACAATGAAAGAAACAAGGCATAAAGGTGTTTTTTAAAAACAGGCTACGCCGAAACATACGAATTTCTCGCGTAAAGGGAAAATCGAAAAGTCCGTTGCCATTTTGTGTTCGGTGGCTTGTTTTTTCAGATAGAACAAATTAAAGTTTTTACATACGACAACGGCATAAACTGGTCTGGTTGCACGATCAGCTAGACGATATATAAAAATAATGCGTTAAATAAACTTACAATGTGTTCATATTAATTTGCATACATGTAAAAACTTTAATTATTTCGTTCGAGGACTTTTCTGTGCGCAGGTATCGCACTGACTGAAATGATTGATTGTTAGATACAATCGACAAGAATTCGTTTGAAAATTTATCGTTTCTCATTCTCACATTATGCAACTCTTTTTCATTTATTTAATCGTTGATCGCGTGCCAAGCTAATTCGGCGATGTTCGTTCACGAGTTTCGCTATGGTCGTGTATCTGACAATTACATCATTGTCGATTGTCGAGTAGCCGGTTACGGGCCGCGATGGTCATTTTTCTTGACGCTTATCTAATCCTTTTTTTACGCGAACAACGAGTAGAATTGATTCTCGCCGTTTCTAAGAGACGTCACAGCTCCGTAATCGACCAAGATATGCTTTTCTCTTCGTTTTGGTTGATTTCGAATCCGGTGACTTGCTCCTAAAAAGCCTTTTGACCCGTTGTACGAGCGTTAAAGAGCAGGAGACCCTTTGCTATGCAATCTGTGCATACGCAGCGATGTTCACTCAACTAGTTTTAAGAACGCGTTTATCCAACGATTTAAATGTAACAGATTTACGGAGCAACGATTTTACAAAACGTACGGGCTGACATCGTCACGCCTATACGTTGCAAAAGTTTGTTTTCTAGCGAGAGTATGATCCGAATGCGTCTTTAACAATCTTTATTCAAGTGATTAGGCATTAAGGGATCCGCGATATTAAGTTGGATTACGGGAATTCAGATTTAAGTAGCTAATTACAGCCGTGAATTCTTAATCTCTTATTTTTTAAGCGAGTAGAATTATTCACGGGCGTTCGATTAAATATACCGCCTTTATGCGCAACGATGTAGCGACCCATTATAATATTACGAACAATCGACCAGCGCGCTATAATTATAATTGGCATATACATTTTCGCGATAAATGTAATGCATGCTCGCAGAGTATTGTAATAATCGTACCGAACCCATTTCGCTAGAGTCTTTACTGACCATTGTTTATAAGCGGGTAATAAACAATATTTTACAACGGGGGTCGCGTTACGCTCAATTATTTCACTGATCTCCATTAAGCATTGGATTTTCATTCGTCATCCCATAACGATCAAGGAAACACTGTGATTCAACGCGAGCGTTAACCCTTCATCTCATTTACGCTTATAATTTACAACATTCCACAAGGGAAAAAACAATATATATCCAAGGTGTTTGAAAAATCCTGGTACAACTACGATTCCTCGGATAAAACTGGGCCGAAAATGTAGAATAAAATTTTTTTATACAGAGCTTATTTTTCGACAAAATCGAGTTTGAAAGTTCGTGGGGCGCGCGTGCATTTAGACTCAGTCTGTTTCGTTTTATAAATATAAATAGTGATAAATATAATATTAATAAATAGTGAGTTATTGCAATATAATGAATTTTCGAAGTCGATTTTCTCAAAAACGAAGCCTCAAAGGAAAAACGTTTATTCTTTATTTTCGATTTGTTTTTCACACAGAATCACACCCTCCTCGCTCGTACCATTGGTATTGAGACACCCTGTATGTAACAGTAGCGTTTAAAGAAATGTGATAGAAATAGCAAGGGATAAATCTCAAGATTATATTAGAAAGATTAGAAAGTAATTCAACGACACATGTGCAGAGTGTTTGCGGAATAATTTATATAAAATACGAGATAAAGATCATTAATCACGTTCAAAAGTGGATGGGAAGGAATTTACTGCGAAATTCACTGAAAATTTAACTATACGTACATTTTAAATATTCTATTCTATTAAAATTCAGTTTCTATTAAAAATTGTGCTCTTGTTGTCAATATGAAGACGGCGGATTTGAAGAAATTATGTAATTATATATAAATCTCTATTTCGATATATGTTAAGTTGATGTCACATCATCAATAGTGATATTAAAATGAGCTTTAGTATATGGCGAAATATTCCTCGTGCAAGTAAGTACTTCTTCTTTCTCTTAATCTTTAGTTTCATCCTTTTACATTAAATATTGATTCTTAATTAAGGTAAGGAATGGTTGTAACATTTCTCTGCCTTCCATTTTTTATTAATAACTTGAGTAGTACTTGTCATAGAATAAAATAACCGTGAGCGAATACTGTCGGATAATTAGGTAACATTTTCATACAACAATTTTTATTCTAAGTGTAATACTTTTCAAGTTATTGTATTCCAAAGTCAAAATGTTACTCTTGATCTCAGCCTCCCATATTTGGATCTTTTTACGGGTAATATTGCATCATTAAACAATTTCGATTATCATGTTCTACTACTGTGTATACTAATGGGGTTTATTGAATAAATAAATAAATAAATGATAATTATTTTGATTCCTAAACCTAGGTTTATGATAGAATCGTCTCGTACGTGTTCTTTTTATCATGTCTGCAACCGTCTAATCGTGGTAGGAATTGAGGCCCAAAAAATTGCAAAGTCAAAGTGTTACTATTGACTTCAGCCTCCCCTACCATCTTGGATCTTCTTACGGGTATTATTGCATCATTAAACAATTTTGATTATCATGTTCTACTACTGTGTATACTAATGGGGTTTATTGAATAAATAAATAAATAAATGATAATTATTTTGATTCCCAAACATGGGTTTATGATAGAATCGTCTCGTACGTGTTCTTTTTATCATGTTTGCAACCATCTAAGGCCCAAAAAATTGCAAAGCCAAAGTGTTACTATTGACCCTGGTCTCCCCCACTCCATTACCTTTTATTTCAAACTTTCTTTTTATCAGATTAATGAATACAAATTGTTACCACCGGACGCCTCGTAACTAAGGTCTACTTCCTTTCCTTCGTTCCGTCAGAAAATCTTTTAGGGTGGTTGTCCCCAATAATAAACGCCAATGTCCCGTTGGTGGACGCACGAAAGTTAGGAGAACGGCCACTGCTTATGAACCGATCATTTACCCGTGGACGCGATAGATCCTTCATCGCGCGGCAAGGGTATACGTGAACGTGCGATCGCGTAAAGAGACGTGCGTGGAGGCATGCGAAGGGATGCGGTGCGCGCGAGGGTCGTCCAAAGGGATGTCCGCGCGCGCATGCACGCGTGGAAGCGAGTGCGTGCGCGCGTACGTGCGTGGGTGGATGCGTGCAACGCGCGAGAGATGTGCACGACGACTATTCAGATATTGTTGTTATTGTTGAGGGAACAATTGCCCGTCAATAGGCTGCCCCGGCACAATGTATCTATTCAGGTGCGGTCAGGGGTGCTCAATCGATCGGCCGCGAATCTCGAAAAACCCCGCGCGAAAAGAATAGGAGAAGCCAAGCCGGTATCCCCGAGGATCCACGAGACGCTGCTCGTCCCGGAAACCCCCGGGATTTATTTCGAATCGAACCGTGTCACGGTGTTCCCCGTTCCTCCGTAACGCGTTCGGGAACTCGATCGTCCCCAAAACAGAGAAAGTAGAGTTCAGAGAACAGAGAACAGTGAACAGAGTTCGCTGTTTACTCGATACATCGATCGAGAGGAATGCCCGCGGAATCGTCGGAGAATATTAAGCAGCGGACACCCCCCCTGCGTAATTATCAGTTTCACATTTAAATAGCCGCGTCGCTTTGGTATTAACTGCCATTGATTAGATACATTGTAGCGGGGCGCTAGAAACACGGCACGGTTGCGGGCATAAATCGGCTATCGCTTACAATTATTATTATCCGGTCTGTGCTGGTATTTAAACCGATAAACGGCTCGCGGAATCGTGATGGCGCAGCGTCATTGTGCGTCAGAGAAGCATTGAAAAGCTCCGGATGGACGGACGGGACGGGACGAGACGAGACGCGCGGCGACGGGACGGGACAAAACGGGACAAAACGGGACGGGACCAGCCAGAACCCGAGCCTTGGCTGAACGAGGAGGGAAAAAGAGGACGCGCGTGAGAGCCACTGTTCCGCGAGTGTACCAGCCTTCCCTGCCCATACCGATGATTACGTATGCGGGAATCATTGTCGAGTAACGCGCGATGCACATGCAAAGGCCAAAAATCGTCGAAATCAGTCGAGTTCAACATCAGCATTGTACCTGGCCTTTGTCTCTGCCTCATTGTTGTCGGTACTCGGTGTACAACGTACACGTATACGTACCGGGGCGAGCACGGCAGAGCTCGCCGGATAGCTCGCGTTCGCTGGTCCACGGTTGCCACACACCTGCAGGACCTTCGGTATTTGCTATTTATGCTACCGAGATCCCGAAAATCGGAGCATTGTCGACGGTTCGGTTCAGCATTGACTACAAAATCGATTCGAAACGGCGGACGCGCCCGGGAAACTCGCTTTCACCGCCGAAATGTCTGTCCATTTCACGCGTGAATATTGAATTCGGATAAATATTCGCCACCGGACCCGCGTCCGGTTACTCCGCGGAAGCGACGCTTTTTGGATCGACGCTAATCGACCGGGGGGCCCACAGCGCGACTGATCGCCGATCCACCCGGACAAAACTCGCTCCACCGTCGCGGAATCTTTTAATTTTCATTGCAAGTTAGGGGAAGAGGTTTGGAAACGTCAGAAAACGTCAAATTGATTTTAGAAATCCTGATGGTCATTGTTGGAACCAACGACGCAGGCTTGCAAGAAGACCTTGCCACTTTGTGGAGTTCGTAATTTTATACAAACTTTTTCTGGTGATTCTACGGCAAAAATAAATAGACACGTTCCCGAGTTTTTCTGCCAATTTATTAATTTTTAGATTTGAATTATACAGGGTGTTCCGCATTTCCCCATAAACGCTTCAGCAGTGTGGTTTACAAGTAAAAATATGACTAAAGTGTTATACTAGAGGCCAAAAAAAGACGAACTACAAGAATATTAATTTTG